ATTGAAGAGTTCTACCATCAAATAGAAGAAGTGCTAAAAATAACAAAGTAACACGAAACAATAATAATTATGGGTGACTTTAACGCTAAAGCTGGACAGAAGATGACGCAGGGCATCACCGGAAAGTTTGGCTTGGGAGAGAGAAATCAAAGAGGTGAACGTCTAATAGAATTCTGCCATGAAAATGACTTCGCCATTACAAATACCTGGTTTCAACTTTCAGAAAGGCGTCTTTACACGTGGAAATCCCTTCAAGATGGACATCAAGGCAGAATAGTACGGAACCAAATAGACTACATCCTAATAAACCACCGATTTCGAAACAATATTAAAGATGTAAAAGCTTACCCCGACGCCGACATAAACTCAAATCACAATTTACTGTGCTCCAAAAAACAAATTAAATTAAAGAAATTAACAAAGCCAAATAAGCCTTGTAAGATATATCTCGACCCCCTGAAAACCCCTTAAACGCGCGAACACATATCACAGCAGATAAATAGTAAAATACACAGAATATCAAATATGCCAAACGAAAACAGAACCATTTACGAATGCTGGTATGATATTCAAAACTCGATTTTAGAGAACGTACAAGAGTCTTTGAAAACACCTACCATGTTAGCAAAAAATGAGTGGATGACACAAGAAATTCTAGACCTGATGGAAGTTCGACGGCAACACAAAAATAGAAATAATATCGAATACCGTGAAAACAATAAACGCATAAAAAGAAAAAATAAACAAGCCAAAGAATCCTGGCTTGAGAATTTATGTAAAGAAATAGAAGACCTCCAAAAAAAGCATGAGAGTTTCAACCTCCACAAGAAACTTAAATATACTGCCGGAATTAGAAAACAGAAAAATGCTCACTTACTTAAAAGCGCGGACGGAAAATTTGTGATCACGAACAACAGTGCAAAGAATGGGAGAGATACATCACTGACCTTTTTGACGATGCTTCTAGAGAAAATGCTCCAAATACTGCCCGTGACAACTAGTCAGACAGAGGTCCCAGCATACTGAATTCGGAAGTCAAAAAGACAATACAGCAAGCCAAAATCAAGAAAGCACCTGGACCAGATCAAATCCCTGCTGAGCTACTTAAACTTTTGGATGAGGAACGCACTGCCTGCTTAACCACTTTCTTCAACAAAATTTACAACGAAGGAAAAATACCAGATGATTGGTTAGAATCACTGTTTATAACATTACCAAAGAAAAGCAGGCCCACCAAATGCGAAAGTAGGATGGGTGATAAGCAATTTGGATTTAGAAACGGTCTAGGAACTACAGAGACACTATTCTGTATGCGCGTTCTATTACAAAAAAGTTGTGAATTCCGAAAGAATGTTTATGTTTGTTTCATCGACTTCGATAAGGCGTTCGACAGAGATACGATACGAGTTCAACACGATACACTTTTCGATTGCCTACGGGCAGCAGGACTTGACCACTATGATATAAGACTGCTGAAATACTTATATTACAATCAAGTAGCGTCTATCCAAATTGGAGACAGTCCGACTGAAAAACTATCTATCAAACGTGGAGTACGGCAGGGTTGTGTTTTGTCACCCACTGTTTTTAATCTGTACTCTGAAGAAATCTTTAGGGAGGCTCTGGATGACAGACAAGAGGGAGTAACACTAGGTGGAGAAGTAATCAACAATATTAGATATGCTGACAATACAGCCATTCTTGCAGAAAATTTACAGGATCTCCTAACATTACTAAATCTAGTCAGTGAAGCAAGCTATCGGAGAGGCCTTTAAATTAACATTTTAAAGACAAAGTGGATGGCAGTTGGAAAGATCAATATAGATCAAGGTCTGATTTCTCTTAATGGAGAAGAGATCGAAAGGGTAAATATTTCAAAAAGTAGATCGAAAGTAGATATTTCAAATACCTTGCCAGCTGGTTAAATGTAAATTGTGACTCTGATGAAGAGATAATAACCAGGATTGAAATATCACGTAAGGCTTTTATGACCTGGAAACCAGTTTTATGCAACAGAAACCTGTCGATGAATATTCGTAAGAAGGTCCTGAAATGTTATGTGTGGTCCATCCTATTGTATGGTTGTGAGACATGGACGTTAAAAACCACAATGCTAAACAAGTTAGAAGCATTCGAATTGTGATGCTATAGACGAATCCTAAAGATATCGTGGGTTTCGCACACTTCCAATGAAGATGTTCTTCAAATGATCAATTCAGAACGTCTGCTCATAAACACCATAAAGAGGAGAAAAACGGAATACTTCGGCCATATAATTAGAGGCCCTAAATACCATCTACTTCGATTTCTAATACAAGGAAAAGTGGAAGGAAAGAGATGGATTGGTCGAAAGAAACTTTCATGGCTGCGTAATATTAGACAATGGTTCCACAGTAGGAGAATTATTTCGCGCAGCAGCCGACAGAGAAAGGTTTCAGGAAATTGTAAACATGATGACGGCCAACGTCTGAATACAGACACAGCACCCAAAAAGAAGATACTGGATGTTGATTTAATCACTGTTTTAATGTCACTAGCTACGACTTCACTCACTATTATTGACTTTTCGTTGTTTGCTGCATCTCTAGCACAGGAATCTGCTTCTTCGTTTCTTCGAATGGCTACAAGCGGCGGTAACCAAAGTATTACGATGTCTATGTTATTTGGTGTAAATTATCTATTTATTTATTTATTTAATTAACGGATATACCATTTTTACAGAAATATGACGTCAACCTTTACAAAGCTTATACATAGGTTGCGTTAATAAAAAACAAACCAAAATTAAAATCAACAAAATTCAATTAAAGTAGTAGCTTAAGTTATAAAATAATGCTCAAATTCTCTCAAATGATTTCTTAAATGTTGCTGTAGATATTCCACAAGTAGTTTTCCTTGTAGTTTTCACAAGGGAACCAATAGGATGTTTTGGATACAGCTGCTGAATTATCAGAATAGAGCTGAAAGAGTCAGTAATAACTACTGCCTTGCTATAGTTGTTCTTTATAATTATCAGTTATTGTAGGTATTAAGCACCATTATCAATATCGCATAAATTTCGGCCATGTGAATAGTATTGAATGATGATAATTTGAATTTGTAATGTAATGTTGTTAATGTATGGAAGCGGTATTGTCCATGACGTGATCCTATTTCAGGAGCCCAATATAAAGTTGGTCTCTCGACAGGAAATCATTAAAGAAGGGAAATCTCACGTGGCCGTATATGTGGTAAATCGACGCGCTGGCATTACCAGACACTTCATTAAGAATGGTTATACTATACATCTGTTTTATAGATTACCGTAAAGCGTTCGACAGGGTCAAGTGGAGACATTTATGGCGAATACTACAAGATGTAGGCGTACCACAACATCTAATTACGATTATAACTGAACTATATGAACACACTACTGGATCAGTTAAAGTACTTGACACACTTTCGAAAGAGTTTCATCCAGAACGGGGCGTCAGACAAGGATGTATACTATCTCCACAATTATTCAACATATATGGGGAGTATATTATGCGAAGAGCACTTGAAGGATGGGAAAAGGGCATCTCAATAAATGGTCATAAACTAAACAACCTACGTTTCGCAGATGACACAGCCCTTCTTGCAAATAGTCAAGCAGAGCTGATGGAACTTATACGACTGATCGAAAACGAAAGTCAAATATTTGGTCTGCAATTAAACATATCAAAGACAAAGATCATGATAGTGGATAGACTACACAACAATCATCCACACATAACCACAAATGACCGGTTCGAGGTTGTGAGCTCATACTTATATCTGGGATCATTAGTCACAAACACAGGGTCATTACAAGAAGAGATTAAACGTAGATGTGATCTAGCAAAAGTTGCCACAGCAAAAATGACCAAAATATGGAAGGACTGTCAAATTTCAAGAGCGATAAAGATGAGGTTGATCAACTGCTTAATATTCCCAATACTGACCTACGGATGTGAATCTTGGACTCTTGAGACAATCGGAGAGAAAAAAGATAGACGCCACTGAAATGTTCTGTTGGAGACGAATGTTACGAATTCCTTGGACCGACCGTAGAACAAATAATTCAATTTTAAGAGAGCTAAAAGTTGGCCAACGACTCTCTAGTAAAGTCCATCTCCAACAATTAAATTATTTTGGGCATGTTATGAGAGCAAACACAGAAAACATGGAAAGACTCATAATACAAGGAAGGTAGAAGGCCGAAGATCACGAGGAAGATCCCCAACAAGATGGATAGATCAAATTACAGGAATATGCCAAAGACCTATGCATGAATTAAAAGACATGACCAGAGACAGAGATCTCTGGAGACGGACAATACACGACATCACGTCGACCACTACACTCCCCCTGGGGGGTCAGGATTGAAGAGAGAGTTGTTAAGGTATATATCTGGTAAAGTACAATTGCTATGTTTCACCAAACATCCCACTTCGAGTATATTTGAGTATATGTGAATAGTACATTGACTCGATTATGCAAGAGGCTAAGGACGGAGACTATACCGGTCGCCATAACTGATGACCTGAGTGCGAAGGATCATCCATGGAACCCACGATTGCCAGATGGGAGAAGGAAGTACCTATCAGAATGGATCCACGCCGTGGGGCTTATGCCGTGATGATTCATTACTTACTTCAGCAAAGATAATTTAAAATGCATTTATGACTTTGATTTTGTTAAACTTTTTATGTATATTTAATTATTAATGATATATTTATACTAATTACTGTTTGATAAGGAGCTTGTCTTCGGTACTTGTTTACGGTTCGTATGTTCAAACTAGAATTCGATGTCAAGGTATGTTTTCTAGTTTGTTTTGTTAACTCAAGCTTTTTTCTCTTCTAGTACAACTTTTCCATTGTAGCACGCCTTGAACAGATTTGTCACACGTCCAAAAAAACTTGTCCGTGCCATGCTTTACCAAGTATAACAAAACTATTTTAAAAAATTCAAACTAAGCTCAAAGTAGTAAAACTTACCACTCCAATTAAATCTCCTTTTCCATATTCACCCACCAGTTCCTTTTTCCCATTTTTATGAGTTATCACAGAACGCAATCGGCCAGATAAAACAATGTAAGTAGAATCGCTTTCGTCGTCTTGCCTGTATATGGCTCTACCGGACTCCATAAATATCCAGTCTAGAGCAAAATCGACTTGTCTTACAAAGGGAGATAATCGCCTTACTACGGAGTGAGCTATATGGAGAACTATTTTGGGTTGGTCTTTCATTAAACTAAAACAGAATAAAGGTAGCTTAAATATTTAATTGCAAAATATTTAAGGATACTCACGTATAAAATGTACTCTTGGAAATTAAAGCTATTCTTGTTAAGTGTTTAGCTCTAATGGTAAAAAAACTTGGTTCCCCCGTCAGAACTGCTAATCCTCCTACTATTTCACCAGGATGCGCAGTGAACATGTGAACTTCGTCTTCACCTTCGGTGACTCTTTGTGAGACCACCAGAGCACCTGCGATTATGTATACAAGAGCTGCATCCTAAAAATCCAAACATAAAATCGATAACTGTATCATGTAAGCCGGAGCATAAATATTCATTTATTTAGATTGTAACAGAAAGTATATAAGATTAACATTATTTTTTGCTGTACAAAAAATAAGCGTACCTCGTTCTATTTAACATTCTGCTAGACCCATTTCGAGCTTTTACCTTTATCACACGGCACTTGCAAAGAATATGATATATTAAACAAAGTATTATAAGATTAACAATATTTTTGCTGTACAAAAAATAAGAATATCTCGTTCCATCTCATTCGGTTAGAGTTATTTCGGGCTTTTACCTTTATCACACAGCACTTGCAAAGAATATGAACTATTAAAGACTTTTTCTAGTTCCATTACCGTTATCGATCGTTGTATATTATGTTGGCTACCATGCAGCATATCAGTCATGATGTTTTTCTTCTACCAGACCCACGTTTTTCCTGAATGAGTAGATGTTTTAATGTTATTGATAGATATTGACCAGTTGTAATGTTTCATTGAGGCGTCTAAGGAACTCCACATTTCTAACTCTCTCGACCCAACTTATCCTTAGTGGTCGTCTGTATACCCACATCTCAAAGTCTTCCAAGCCTTTAAGCATAGCCTTACTTAGTGTCTACGGTTCCACTCCATACAGTAGGACTGGAAAAATATATCAATGTGTCATTCGAACGCGAAGGTCGGTACTAAAATCGTGGCTGCAAAATATGTTCATCATTTTTACAAATGTAGCTCGAGCACGTTCTAATGGGCTTAAGTATTGGGCTCTTGCCGTTTTGTGACGTCACTTTCACGGAAGGTGTTTGCTTCAACAGTTCGGTACAAGGCGTGTCTATTCTTTTTTATGGTCTAAGGTAAAAACACCAATTTTAGGGTTTTAAACTAAAAGCATGGCTTTTGCGTACAACATCGAGGCCAAAGTAAGTTACCCGTCAAGTTTGAAAAAAACATAAGCCTAAATACACCTCACTACTTTTTTTGAAATATTCTAAAAAGAATTTCCGGAGTGGAAATCGAAACGTCAAACGGCAGTTAAAAATGTAATTTTCATTACAATCAATTGTGGCTTAATCCCATATGAACATATTGTTTAACTTGGACGTGCCACAAAAAAAACAGTTACAGTTTGACATTCCAGTTCCAATTAAAACTCGTAATTGAAACAGATAATTTTTTTTATTAAAAAGAAAACATTGCCGCATCCACCAACAAAATATTGATTGACCTCAGGTAATTTAATAAGTTTTTTACGTGACAGTTTTCTCCTAATAAATCTGGTAGAGTATTTGGTATATTGTTTATTAAACGTTCTCTATGGTATTTTGGACACTCAATTAACAAATGGACGAGGGTAATAGGCGTAGTACATAGGTCGCACAGGGGGCGTTCACTGGCCGAAAGTAAATAAGAGTGTGTGATCTTAGTGTGTCCTATACGTAGGCGTGTTAGAACCGTTTGAATAAACCGTGTACTAGCACTAGTTTTCCACTGTCGTGTATCTGGTTTTAGCGATCTTAATTTATATTGCGATAGAAACCATTCGCGCTGCCACTGACCAATCACTTTTGTTTAAAAAACGTTTTAAGATCTTTACATACACTCTCACGCACTAATTCAGATTCCGCACTTGTTGATGCATCACAAGCACTACTGTCTGCCTCTTCATTGCCGATAATTCCTAAATGCGATGGGATCCACATAAATTTAGGGGTTATGTGGTTCTCTTGGGCGATCTGTAGTTCAGTTTTTATTAGTTGCTCCAGGGGCTGTTTAGGATACAGATGCTGTATTGCAAGAAGAGAGCTGAGCGAGTCGGTGATTTTTGATATTCTTGAGATGTTTGCAAGTTTTAGGGCACGGTATAAAGCAAACAAATCAGCGGTGAAAACACTGGAGTTAGGCGGTAGTTTAAATTCGAAAGTAGACGTTGGGGTAACAAATGCACAACCAATGTTAGATTTGGAGGCATCAGTAAAGATATTTGTGCAATTAAGGTAGTCTCGTTCAAGAATCTCGTTTAGTTTGTTTTTAATTAGTATATTGTTATTGTATTTTTTGGAGAACTCTATTAGAGAGGTGTTGCAATTTGGGATGCTTATTAATCATGGATGTTAGATGTTACAGTGAAATACATTTGGGATTGTTGTATCAAAATTATTCAGAATTGATCTTACTCGTGTGTAATAAGGTTTTCCAGTATGAGGTTTATTAAAGAGAAAGTCAAGATTATTTTTAGAAAAAATATTTTCGAAGAGTAGATGATCCTTAATAGCAGCTACAGAAGAAGCGTGTAAAAGTGTTAAAATTGCCCGCCTATACTGCAATGATGGTTCTCCAGTTTCAGAATATAAGCTTTCTATGGATGAAGTGTGAAAAGCTCCGAGAACGATCCAAAGTGCGGCATTGTGGATTATATCTAACGGTTTTAGGGTACTTTTGGTTGCGGGGGCATAAACTATTGAACCGTAATCGAGTTTGGATCTAATTAAGGTTTTATACAGAAGGAGTAGTGTAGAGAAGTCGGAACCCCAGAAACGATTTGATACGGTTTTAAGCAAATTGAGTCTTTTGTTGCATGTTAGCGCCAAGTGTTGTATGCGCTTTTTCCAGGAAAGTTTTTGATCCAGCCACATACCAAGGAATTTCACGGAGTTTTGGAAGGGAATGATGCTGTTGTGAAGATAAAGGACTGGTGTAAAGGATGATTTTTTCGTAAACACCATACCAGTTGTCTTTGTAACGGAGAATTTGAAGCCTGTACTAGCCGTCCATTCATCTAGTTGGGTTAAAAATGTCTGTACTATTCTGCACATACATTCTGTACTCGTCGGCATAGAGGCGAGCTTTGAGAGTTTTATGTAATTTGTTTAATATGTTGTTTATGGCAACTAGGAATAGGGTAGGACTAAGTACTGAGCCTTGTGGGGTACCGTTTTCTGCAGTATAAAAATCAGAATAAACGTTATTACCTCTTACTTGAAAAGAAAAGTCTTTTAAGAAATTTTCGATATAGGATAAGTTCTCTAATATTGGATGCATGCAATTTTTTAATGATGTTGAATCTCCAACATGTATTGAAGACTTTCTTTAGATCGAAGAAAATAGCTATACATATTTGATTCATTGCTAACGCTTCTTGGATATCACTTTGTAAGTCTACTATATTGTCAATTGCTGACCGGTGAAACAGATAATTGTATTTGTAGTTTTCTAAATACACAAAATCCCCTGAATATTGCATGATACTATAACAAAACAAGATAAGTCAACGCGCATGTTCTTGTGACGTAAGCCCGAGACAACTTGTCAAAATGCGAAATTGACAAAATTAATGACAGCAAGTTAAACTTTAAAATTAAATTTAAATTTTTCATTTGATGCAATTCTAGTTATATAAATAAAAAGAATTAATATTAATAACAGCAAAGAATTAATCTATCAATATTAATAACAGCAGAGCAAATGTTTCTATAGATAATAATATATACTAATGCCCATTTTAATAGAACTTGAAGTAATACTTTATTTTTGATAGGTCTTTAAAAAAAGTTACTTTGGATGTATGTAGTGAACTGGACCATATTTTTCGTAGTTATAATGGCGACACATTAAAAATAACAAAAAATTATTTAAAAAACTTAATAGAAGCTGCAAAATATGTAAATGTTAGCGAATATGTAAAATAATTTTTTTTACATGTAAAATGTATTTTAAAATACGAATTCTAAATCAAAATATTAAAGATAATTACAATACCACAAAAGAAAAATCACAAAGATTGTAAAATAAATGTCTAAATGATATTCATAAAGTCTCAAGTTTGACCCGCTATTCCTTTATGGCCAAATTCTTTACATTTTATATTTAATTTATGTTTTGTAGCAATATTTATTTTGTTTGTAATACACACAATCGAATCGCAGATTCATATATTTCTTTAATTAATTTTACAAATTACTTATTAATTTTCAAAACACGTTTTCACATAAAGTAACTAGTTATGACTTCTTAGTGCAAGATATGGCATCGAGGTATACTTACCGTTAACAGTTTAAGTTTTGAAGTTGTTCATTACAGTAATGGAACAACGTTGCCATATGATGCATCGTTAAAATATGATACATACAAGTCACCTGGCTTTGTCTCGTTATGACGACATGCGCAAAGTCAATTAAAATTAGAACAGCAAGTGAGTATATCTTGTTGTTATAGTATCATGTGAATATTGTAATTTATTAAACATTTATTTAACATTACTTTAACAGCGGAAACATGCAACACAGAGCAACAATATATCCCGTCAGACCAATGCTCATAGTAAATAGTTGGGTTCTAAGAAATCAAAATTAATTCATTAGAATTTCAGTTTACAAATTTACATAAAAGGGAATCAACGATATATTTACCTTATTAGAATCTTCTTTCATCAAGTATGTTCCTGCAGACACTTCCCTAATCTCTACTTTTCCTTTTAAAGTATCTAAATCTTCTAAACCTAATTCTTTGACAAATGCCACGGTTGCTACTTCTATTAATTCTTCTTCATTAATATCCGGGTTTTGTATTGATAGCCTCTTTTTTGGTATGGAACCACAATCAGATACCTGAAATAGAAGTGTTATTAATTAACCGCCATTGTTAGATGTTTTGATTGATTAAATGAATGCCAAAAACTATTTTAACAATCCGTTCTCTTATATAAGTAATTTATTTTATTTCAGTCGACTCTAAATATATTACCAGTAGTCGGTCGTTTTTGAGCTAAAACACAGATTTTAGAGCCAAAAAATGAAGCTCTCACGACAGTGATGTTTTTAACTAAATGATGTTTCAAATAAATGCAATGATTTTACTATTATTGCTGTTACGAAAGATTTATCCCATATAAGAAAAGTCCATCGACGAAAAAGAAGTAGTTCGAGAACATTCAAGATAACATCGAAAATTCTTGAAATGTCTAGTGAAGTTTGGAACGTCAGAATATATATATATATATATATATATATATATATTATATATATATATATATATATATAACAGATGTTTTTGACAGTTGTGAAACAGTTGTATTTTGAATGTTTAAGTTTATAGTTGTCAGTTAGTTAAAAAGTATTGTAATATTGTTGGTTTTGAATAAAGTTAATTATCAAGAAGTGTAACATTAGTAATGCACTTGTTACTATTTCTTATTTCATATACAAAAAAGTCACTGTGTTCGGAATTTTATTAATTTTGTTAAATGGCAACCGTGGCAACACCGCGCTTGGCCATGCGCTATCCATTTTTGCAAGTAAGTAAGAATCAATCAAGAAGTAAGAGTGTTCACATATACCTAGAATTGTAACATCTCTATTCTATTACCATTAAAAAATTACAGTCCACATCGTTTCAATTAATCTACTTTTATCAGTGAACCAGCGCAAGTTGAATACAAACAAGTGTGTTCAAATTCTATTAAACATTTTGTTCCAAACGAGCCGAATTTGTGAAATATTCAAGTATCTATTTTATTACCGGCATGCAATTAGTGTACGCGCCAAAACTAGTTGGAGGCGATATCAAGTAACGAGTTCCGAGTTCCAGTGTCAATTCCAGTCGACCAATTCAGCGGGAGAGCCGATCGTAAAGAAACGCAGGCGACAACTTCCACAAGCGACAAGTATTCGTCAGGACCACTGTACATACAAGGTCAGATCACAAGGATCTACAGACCGAGAATTTGGTATACAAATTCCACGGGTTCGCGCAATCGTACTTGTAAGTTCGTGAATTAGTTGACTGGAGTTACAATTTGCCAAATTTAAATGTAATCGTTTCTACTCATTCATATTAATATCTATTATAATGTATAATATATTAAAGTTTTTAATATTGGTAATATTATTCATATTAATATTATAATATATAATATATTAAAGTTTTTAATATTGGTAATATTATTCATATTAATATTATAAAGTATTAATTATCACTGCTTAGCGTATTTTCATGGAAATCAACCGCTGTGCTGACTAGTATTTTTTTAAATTGTGATGAATAAATATATTAAATAAAGGGTATTTTAAATAAATTTGTAATATTTTATGCGAAAAGAAGAAAAGACTCAGTTCCGAGTCGTGAGCGTATTCCTTATATTTTCTTTAATTGTGTTAAGCTACTCGGATGTGAGTCGTTGTTATAATTATTCAAAAAAATTAATTTACAATATTTTTTATTAAATCAAATGAGAAATATTATAGCAAATTAAGAACTAAGGAAAAAAAACAAATTTTCATTTCCTAGCAAATTGTTTCTGAACACTTAAGATTAAAACTTCCAAATAAAATTTGGATAATATTGTAAAGGCTTTTATACACTGAAATTAAATTAAAAAAGAACATGAAAAAAGTGGAAAAATAATAAAACATTCCCAAATTTAAACATATCTCGAAAACAAAATACGATCTGGAAAAAGAATACCGGAAATGTTTAATTTTTTTGAGCTCTTCGATTGTGTAGTACCTTCAATTTCAGTTTTTTTTCAACAATACTCAAGTATTCCGATTTAGTATTCTCAGCCTTATATAAATTTCCAAGAAATTAATATCGGATGAAGTTTCAACAAACGAAATGAAAATCCTAATATTAAAACAGCATTATGACCAGGTACAATATCTGACTGTTATGCAAATTAGTAGGTAATTAGAAAGTCAGTATGGGCAAAACCAGCTTATTCAAATTATAGGTACCTACCTTTAGTCTTGTATTGAAGGATTTTAATTTATTACCCTTAGCATACGTAAAGTTATAAAAAACGAGTTATTTATCTCGTACTTATTTTAAGCAAGGCGCAATATTTAATTAGTTAATATTATTATTAATATTAAAAAATAGTATTAAAAGCTTTAATAATATTACCAATATTAAAAACTTTAATATATTATACATTATAATATTAATATGAATGAGTAGAAACGATTATACATTTAAATTTGGCAAATTGTAACTCCCGTCGACTTCACGAACTTACAAGTGCGATTGCGCGAAGCCGTGGAATTCGTATACCAAACTCTCGGTCTGTAGATCCTTGTGGTCAGATCCATTTCAATTTCCTTCCTAGTAAAAAACCGTCAAATTGATAATTCATTTTGGTTTATTTGACAATAAAATTAACATTTTTATGCAATTGATCTATAAATCTATTTAAATATTACCTTCGATTTGTAATATTTGTGTACAATTATTTGTTTTGATAACAATAACTAGTTTTAATAAAGTATTTGGCCATTTTAACTACTAGTTTTAAATAAGATGGCTAATTCAAATAACGAGATACAATTTGTAGACGATTTAAAAGATCTGAAAAGAAATCGAGGTACTATGAAACAGAAATTATCACTTCTAGAGAAATTTATTAATAAATTAAAAGACAATGGTGATGTTGATATTACAGATATTCAAGTTAGGTACGATAATAATATAAATCTACTAAACGATTTTGATATAATTCAAACAGAAATTGAAAAAAAGTGCTCTGAAAGTCAATTAACAGAAAACTATTTAGAAAGAGAGGAGTTTGAAAATCGTTTTTATGCGGCTCAAACATATTTACAAGTTGTTTTAAAACCAGTAACTAGTAATTGCTCACAATATAGTCAGTCTAGTGAATTTAAACCAGGGAATGATCCCCTGCAAAATGTTCTATTGCCTAAAATAAAATTAAAAGTGTTTGCAGGAGAGTTTAATTCTTGGATTGCCTTTAAAAATAGTTTTAATGCGACCATTGCTAATAATACTTCGCTTAGCGATGGACAAAAGTTTCATTTTTTAAAAGCCTCTTTAGAAGGGTATGCAGCTAGTTGTGTTGAAGGATTAGATAATGTAGAGCAACCATTTCTGAGAGCGTGGGAGTTATGATGCGATAGGTTCGATAAAAAACAATTTCTAATAGATAGCCATTTTAAATCTTTATTAAATTTATCAAGGATACAAAAAGATAATAATTATGCTAGTTTTCGAAAAATGTTGGATGAAATATCAAAACATTTAACTTCTTTGGAAGGTATTGACATACCAAAAGAAAAGTTGTATGATTCATTCATGATCCATATCTTAGTTAACAAGTTTGAGAAAAATACTATACGGGAATGGAAAGAAACCAAATTTGCAAATGATTTACCTTCTTTAGAACAGTTTATTAATTTCTTAAAAAATAAAACAGATATATTACAAAGTTTAGATGAGTCTCAAGCATTCAAATCACAAGTTTCAACTTCAAACAAGTATCATAACAGATCTAACAATTTAGTACACTTTGCAGTTAAAAACCGATGCAATTTCTGCAAAAAGGAACATTCAATTTATAAGTGTCCTACATTTAAAGCTTTATCGGTAGAACAGAGGTTTCAAGAAGTTAGAAAACATAAATTATGCGAAAATTGTCTATTAAGTGGGCATGATAAGAACCATTGTAAATTTGGTCCATGTCCTATCTGTAAAACTCACAAACATAATACTTTGCTTCATAAAGATTATGCACAAATTTCAATTCGTGACAGCAGTCACCAAGTAAGTTTACCTACTACTTCTGATCATAGAAATGATAATGTAGAACAGCAAATAAGTATAAATTTTGCAAAGAATGAAAGCCAAGTTTTATTAGCTACAGTTATGTGTAATATTAAAGACCAAGCTGGTAATTATAAGTGCCGAGCCTCACTAGATTGCGGTGCACAAATGAACTTAATCACCGAACGTTTTTGCAATAAATTAAAAATACAATTAACTGATACAAATTGTTCAATTACTGGTATTAGTCAACGTTCGTCTAACGTTAATAAAAAATGCTTTTTAAAAATATTTTCACAATTTTCAGATTTCAGTTCTAGTATATCATGTCTAGTAGTACCAGTCATATCAAGTAGATTACCTGCTTATCCTATTGATATGAATAACATTCGATTACCTCACAATATTAACTTAGCCGATCCCGAATTCAATTGTCCCAAAGAAATTGACTTATTACTTGGAGCTCACATTTTTTGGGATCTTATATTACAAGATAAAATCTCATTAGGTAAAAATCTTCCATTGTTAATCAATACTCAATTGGGTTGGGTTGTAACAGGTACAATTCCAATTAATTCAGATAAATATGTATGCAATTTTATTAAAGTACACATCCCTGAGGATGATCAATTAAAAAAGTTTTGGGAACTTGAAGATATTCCTACCAAGAATGAATTTCTGTCTCAAGACGATCGCATTTGTGAATCCTTATTCAAACAAGACACATTTCGTGATGAGAATGGACAATTCGTTGTAAAGTTGCCTTTAAAACACTCTCCTAGTTTATTAGGCGATTCAAAGCAAACAGCTATTAAAAGATTTAAGTCATTAGAATCAAAATTCTCCAATTCCTATTTTAAGCAACTTTATTTTGATTTTATTCACGAATATGAAAACCTAGGTCATATGAATAAAATTTCTATTAATTCAGAATATTCCTATTTTTTACCACATCATGGCATATTAAAAGAGTCTAGTGTTACTACAAAACTTAGAACCGTCTTTGATGGAAGCTGCCAAAGCTCATCAGGATGGTCTCTTAATGACCTTCAATATG